ATTCTGTATAGCAAGTACCTTTTGTGAAATAAAAATTGTGAATTTCAAGTTCTGTTTATTTCTGTTATTCTGTTTATTTCTGAATTGTTCTCCAACAATCTGATCTGATCAACTGTGTAAGCCCTAGCGCGTTAGCGCGCGTACTCTTCCTCTATCTATGAGTGAGACTCTATCCAAATCTATTTATCTCCCCAACATCAAAGCGAGACCCATCAAAATCTGCCATTTGTTGGGTGACACCTTTTCTATGAGCACCCCACCATTGAATGATGAACTTTGCTAGTCTTCGCCTCGAATCCAACTAAGGGAGGACACACAGCACATTGTTCAATTATCTCAAGACATAATCCAACATACTTGTATCTCTAATATGTAGCCAAGCAAAAAGCTATGTGCAGAGAAATTCATATCTTTACATCATTAACACAGAATGACACGATAACAATAAACCCGTGCCATAAAAGTTCTTCTTGCGTGTCACATAATTGAAAAAGAAAAGCAACATAGAATTGAAAAGCAGACATGTGAAGGAAAACTTAGCAGAAAGAAAATTTCAGCTAGTCGGCACCTGTCTGGTTGCCTAAACGTGGTTGGTTCTGAGGGACAATGCTGTCATTGTCTAATAGAAAATAATTGGTTTGTATTGTATGAAGCAAAAAATTAGGCTTTTTATATTAGCACTCCACAAAATGTTGAATGCACTCCACATTAAAATTTAGTATTAAATGACTTATTTACCCTACTATGCAATGACAATTTTGACCTTATTAGGTTTTAAAAGAAAAAAAAAATTCCATATACACCCTAAATCACTTTTAACGTATTATTTATCTTCTTCAACTATCAAAACCCCTTCAACCTTCCATTATTGAACAAAACCCTAACCAATGAAACTACAAACATATTAATTGAGAAAAATTATTTTTGACAAATGAAACACGAAATCGATGTTTCAGAAACTTTACATGAGGTAATGACACATCCCGACCGAGATCAAGGCATGCTGGCCATCACGTGAGAGTGAGGTAGCCAAGTGCACAGTGCGGAAGCAATAAAGATAAGAATATACGAATAATTAAAAACCAAATTACTAGAGTGCACTACTAAAAGAAAGTGATAGGAGTTAGTTACAACACTAAACACTCCTAATCAGAGCATAAGGTCTAGGTGTAGTCCAATAGGACAAGTACTAGTTACACAGTACCAGGAATGTCCTACTGTTATTGAAATAGGTCAGAACTGCCAATGATCCCGAGCCACCGACAACAAGCTTACTTAAAATCTGGAAGGGCGCAAAACAGAAAACGTGAGTGGGCAAAAACAAATGTTTTACAAAATCATTTCATTTATCAATATACTAATCCCTCGCTGTAAAACATGTATAATTTTTCCCAGAATCAGAATATAAGCATATACATAATTAGATATGAAATATATCAACTCAATTCATGCTTCACATAATCATATTCATATGTATGCCATGCCAAAATATAACAAAGTAAACAATCCAGGTAATAATAATTTCATAGAAATATGATATGTTAGCCGAAACTTTTGTGGTAGTTTGTACGGCTGAATTCATAGCTCACACTCAATCTAGCCGAAGTCACTACTATGACCTATACGACAATATACTGCACATAAGTCGGAACCCCTAGATAGGGTCTGTACAACAAGATTGGGTGTAATATAATTATGCTCAACTCTATTCTCTCATAATAGTCGGGCAATAAATCGCTAGTCACCTACGAGTCGGAACCATGAATAAGGTTTGTATGACAAGACTGTGCACTTAAGTTGGATCCAATATGAGCATATAATGCGGGAGGTGACGTAAATAAATAGGCATGTACTTCATATCTCTGGCTAAATCACAATCACCCTAGGTGCAGTTTTATGAGCTCAACATTATTCGATCACATATCACATCATTGATGATTCACTTAGCCAAACATAACTTACCTGAACTTACCTGTGCCTCCACAGCACCACATTGATATATGTTGATGCACAAAACCGGATGGTCTTGGTACAACGTAAATCTGACCGTGAATCTGCAAGTAATGTAAATAACACAAGATGTATCGTGGTTCACCCCAAGGTTTGGGCTACGTTCACACTGATTGTATTGTATTTCTCTGGTGAAGAGAGAGAGAGAGAGCTTAGAGCTTAGGGGGTGTGAGGAAGCCTCCTCTTTGTGAGGGTGAGGAGGCCCTTTTATAGAATAAGGGATCCTCCCCTAATTACATATTTGCCCCTTCCTTTATTACATAATTACATTTAAGTCCCTCGAGTATTTATACGAGGTCTAAATACGAGGCCCTAAATATGGTATAAACAATATATATATATATATATATATGCAACCATGAAATGCATATTCAAAATATAAAAGCATTTGGCATATTATTTCAAAGCATACTTTCCTTATAAATGCATTTCTCGGAAATATACCAAGTATATAAATATATACTAAAAACAAAAACCCACTCACTAGTATGTCGAAGGGTCGTAGCCCCCGAGTCGCCCGTGGATACGCTCGTCCTCGGGATAAGTCTCACCTATATGCGAATTAACTATAAAAACGTTATTTTTAAAGCACATAGACAAACTAGCTAATAACTTCTTATACATTGCTCAAAATGGGTATATGAATATACCACAGTGATCTACACAACCTCAAGATCATCCACATATTTTTAGAAATATTTTTGGACCTCCCACGCGCCGCCACGCACCGGCAAGGGCACGGCAAAACGAGCCCCCACGCGCGGCCCAAACCTGACGGATTCCTTAACCACCGTTAGGGAATATTCTGTTCAACCTAATAGATTCTGCTAAAATTGACTGACGGCGTCAGCATATTCAGGCGAGTTGCCAGGAAACTAGGTAAAACTTTAAAACCCTTGTTCTCACTCTTTTCTTCACCAAAACTTATGAAATTTAAACCAAAATGAAGCTAAGGACAAGTAGAAACACTATATAACAATTTGGGTCCTTGAAATTCACGAGAACACGTCGGAAATTACCTCGACTTTCTGGCCAAATGTAAAACATGCCGATCTCCACTTTCTGACGTCCAAAATCCTCAAACGAACTATCCCTAGCCTCCCAGGGACCTCACAAAGCTTCCTATAAGCTTCAAATTCCATAAAAACAAGCCATAAGTTTTTGCATGAACAGTACCTCATTCACGTGATTTCAAAGTAGTTATTACCTGTAAATGGTATGGATGTGTTCGTCTGAGCTTCACGAACATAATGGTGCCATTTTCCACTTTGATCCGTCGCGTTTGCAAAGGTTTTGGTTGGCGTCCGTACAAGTTCGAAGGAGAGAGAGAATGAGAGTCCGAGAGAGATGAGAGGGTACGGGATAGAGAAGAGAGAGAATGTGTGTGTGTGGCCTAGGATTGGTCAACCACCAAAAAGTACCATAATTTAATCCTAATTGGTTCCAAACAATTAGTATTTAAGAATATTAACCCAAAGCTACACTTAAACCACATTACACAACTAGCGTCCAAGGGTATTTTCGTCAATTCATGCCATCAATAAATATATATTTGGGACGGGCTGTGACAGGTAAGACTTCATATTTTTTTTATTGTTTTAGTGATTTTGACGACATCGATAATTATTGAATCTTGCTTTTGATGTATTATTCAAGCTTCTATGTTTGTATTCATCTTTTAGGGATCATAGGGATTACATGAAGAATTAAACACCTAAAATTACCACCAAATATTAAAATTTGAAGACATGGGTTTTAATAGTGGAATTGAAAACAACCCACATATGTTTTAAATCTCAGGCGGCATCTTTTGTCAAAATTCCAGTTGGCATTTTTTTATCCAAATTAAAAACTTTCTAAGATTTGAGAAATGTGGGGTGTAAAGAAAATATGGGGTGCATGTAGAAAATATAAGGAGTATATTAAGAATGTGGGGTGTGAGGGTATTATGGGAAAGTATGTGGGGTGTATTAGGATAATTTTTAATTGAAAAAACAAATATGGGGTGTATTAAGTATGTGAGGTTTATTCAACAATTTGTGGGGTGTCAATATAATAAGCAAAAAATTATTATATTTTATAGAAGGTGAGTTGTAGACATGCATGATTGAATTTGATATAATAAGGTCATCTCCAACCGAATGGTTCAGAAGGCCAGAAGGCCGAAAATAGCCCTAAAACCATCTCCAACCAAGGGCCAAGCCAAAAGGCTCATGGGTCCCACTGGACCAAAAAGGGCCAAAGGGCCAACTGGCCGGCCCAAATGAGCCAGCCAGCCGGGCTAAAAAATTTGAATCTCAACAGCTAGCCGTTATTTTTTATTTTTCATTTTTTTTTACAATTTTTTTTTAGGCCAAAAATTTAAAAAGAATATTTAATTAAAGCCCAGAAAGGTGATTGGTTCTATGTGAGGATATTGCTTTTATAAGTATGTTTGATTGCTCAAACCTCTCTCACAGCCGACGTGGGACAAATATAATGGGGGCACCAAATATAAGCTTTCTATTAGAGGTCGCAAATGTGCATTTATACATGGTAAATGTGCATTTAATTTAAGTTGTTGTAGTTTTTATATTTAAATAATATGTTTGGCCTTAGGTTGGATATAGTTTTTTGTGACAGGGCTAAAACGAGCCTTATGGCCCTTTGGCCCTCGGTTGGAGATGGTAAGAAATATAACTATGCACTGTTCATTAAAATATTAATTTTTTGGAGAACCAAAGGGTTAAAATGAGTAATCTGGCTAGCTTTTGGTGAGAGATGGCCTAACAATATTGTCATCTGTCATTTTGCACACCAAAGCTCTGCAATCTCATTTTTTTTTTCGACACGAGAATCCACGACTTCTTTTTTTTGAAAGCAGGGGAACAACAAGGCAAAGAAGCCAAAAAACAAGAAAGCTTATAGAGAGGCAAACACAAAGCAGGAAACCAAGTAATGAAGAGACACCGCCACCTAGTGGAGACGTCACCCCAAACATCACAAAGAAATCAATGAGGACACGTGAGCCCATCATTGTTCAAAACAAAGATCAACGAAGATGGGGGCCGCTCGACCCAAACATAATCACTCATCTCCGTAAAACCAACCGACGCCGGCTCATGCGCCGCACCATTAGCTGATCTAGGTACCCAAGACCAGCGACATAATTGGAAGGCCTCCCCAAGCTGTTTGACCTGAGCCAACACAGGGAAAGACTCCCAACTGCCCATCTCTAGAGAACCAGATAGACAATTAATAGCATCAAGAGAATCAGATTCAATAATCAGAGCATTGATACCCAAAGCTGCACCCAATTCATAACCACAAAGCAAAGCTAAAGCCTCAGCTGCAGCAGCCGAGGGAGCAGAAAGAAGGTACCTTGCAGCAGCAACAAACCTCCCATCCGCAGCCCGCATAACCACCCCAGCGAAACCCAACTTTGAAACCTTTGACCAACTAGCATCAACATTTATCTTGATGAAAGGAAAGGTAGGAGCACACCAACGCGAAGCATGCCCCACCTTACCAGATCCCTCCGACCTGGACACTCCCAAAATATCTTTCGAAGCCAAGAAAGAGCCCACAGCCGTAGATAAAGCAAACAACACTTTAGAAGGATTAGTGGGCACCTTATTAAACATAAAGTCACAGCGAGTCTTCCAAATAAACCAACAGGTATAAGCAATATAAGACCACATCCACTTAGCATGGGTAGAGGACGCAAAGGAAGAAGACCACACATCCTTTAACCAATCCACCCAAGAGTGAATAGCATCACGATTAATTTTGTAGTTCAGGGCACCTCCAAACCAAATAGGCTCAACCCACGAACAATTAAGAAAAAGATGCTCAATAGTCTTATCATGGCAAAGACAAATAGGACAGGTAGAGGAAATGGAGGACCTTCTGCGAAAAAGGGTCGTACAAGTAGGAAGGCAATTGTGCAAAGTGAGCCATAGAAAATGGCGCAATTTCGAAGGCACCTCAAGCTTCCAGATAGCCTTCCATAACCTCGAAGGAACCCCACGAGCAGTAGAAAGCTGATTATCCCTCAAAGCAAGCGATCTACTTTGAATCCACCGGTAACCCGACTTGACCGTGTAAATACCATTCTTACTACATCCCCAAATAATCCGGTCCTTGTGACTCAAATCACCAATTGGAGTGTCCTCAATAGCCTTTTTATCCGTATCCGAGAGGAAAGGCAGGAGGAAATTAAGATCCCACCTCCTAGAAACCGAACAAATAAGTGAGCTCACATGCAAACCAGAGGTAACCGGAACCGACCCAAGAGGCAGAGGATAACCTAAAGGCAGAGACGGTAACCACTTATTCACCCACACCTGCACATCCTGACCTTCCAAAATTTGCCAATGGGAACCAAGTTTAAGCAAATCCCTTCCCGTGATAATACTAGACCAGGCCCAAGAAGCATGACCACCTTTCGTTGCTTCCTAAATATTGCAATGAGGGAAATAACGAGCCTTAATTACACGAGCCCACAACAAATTAGGGTCTGAAACCAAGCGCCAACATTGTTTAGCTAACAAAGCATCATTAAACTCCTGGAAATTCTGAAAGCCCAATCCACCTAAGTCTTTTGGAAGACCCAAAACATCCTTGGAAACCCAATGTATTTTGCGAGCTCCATCCTTGTTACCCCACCAAAAATCCGCCACCAAAGAATCAAGTTCCTGACAAACAATGGCAGGGAATTTAAAAATACTCATAGGGTAAGCAGGAATAGCCTGAACAACAGCCTTAATCAACACCTTTTTTCCGGCTCGGGACAAAGAACTTTGTTTCCAGCCTTGCATTTTCTCTAGAATTTGCCTCTTCACATAAGAAAGGCCCCGCTTCTTGGACCGTCGCCAAATAGCAAGAACCCCCAGATAGGTCCTAAGATTACAAACCATAGCCATACCAAGAATACTCCCCAGGTGGGCGGAAAGCGAAGCCGAGACATTTGCCCCAAAGAAAATGCTAGATTTCAATAAGTTGACCTTTTGCCCCGAGGCTTCACAATATGTAGCAAGAAGATCGCTCAGATGCCGACAGTTATTCTCATCAGCTCGCAAGAAAATTAAAGTATCATTAGCAAAGAAAAGATGGGATATAACTGGTCCCGAGAAACCCATCCGCACACCAACCAGCCGCCTTTAATCCACCTCACCCTAAATCATTCGGGAGAGAACCTCCCCAACCAATATGAATAAATAGGGAGAAAGAGGATTCCCCTGACGGAGACCCCTGGAGGGAGCAAACTTATTCCCAGGTTGCCCATTTAGAAGAACATTAAACTGAACCGAATTAACACAGCCCATGATAAGCTTTCTCCACATCGGACAGAACCCCATCTTTTCCATAACTGCCTCCAGAAAATCCCATTCAACCCTATCATAAGCCTTCTGCATATCAAGTTTAATGCCCAACTCAAATTTATTCTTTGCTTTCCTCCCTTTCAAAAAATGAAAGATTTCATGAAACTATACCAATACTATCCTGAATTTGTCTACCCGCCACAAAAGCATTCTGAGAAGGAGAAATAATGGTCGGCAGTAACACTCTCAGTTTATTGGTGATAACTTTTGACAGAATTTTGTAAGAATAGTTGCATAAACTGATAGGCCTGAATTGTGAAACAGATTCAGGATTTGCAACCTTTGGGATAAGAACAATATAAGTATCATTCAGAGTACCTGGGATGGTAGAGTCCTGAATCAGAGCTTTAACCAAAGCTAAAACATCCGCCCTGACAGTCTCCCAAAAAGACTGGTAAAATACCCCTTGGAATCCGTCCGGGCCAAGAGCCTTCAAGCACCCCATTTCCAGGGCTGCCTCCTTAATTTCGTCATCCGAAACCAGCGCAACCAAAACCATATTCATAGCATCAAAAACCACAGGATAGATCCAGTCCAATAAGGAACCCCAGTTCCGAGACCCAGCCGAGCTGAAAATGTCAACAAAATGATTCTCCACCAAGTGACGAACCTGATCAGGATGCTCTACCCAACACTCATCCTCATCCTTAAGCTTCACAATGGTGTTCCTACGACGCCGGTGCAAAGTTAAATGATGAAAAAACTTAGTATTAGCATCCCCATCTCGCAACCATTTGACCCTAAAACGCTGACACCAAAAACTTTCTTCCTGCGCCCTTAGATCATCACTTAATTGAGATTTGTCCCTTATCACATCTTGGTTTAGACCCCAATCCCTCTGGAGATCATCTAATTGAGCAAGGAGATCTTGAATTTGAAGGCCCCGCCTCTTAAACTTGGTACTGCTCCAGCGACACAAACTAGATCGGCAAGCTTTTAATTTTCTCCCCCAATTCAACAAAACATCACCGTGCTGCCTGTGCTCCCAACAGGTACGAACCAAATTCTGACACTCCTCCTCCTTAGCCCAAAAAGCCTCAAACCTAAAAAGCTTCCTTCCTTTCGGACCATCCAAATCAGACTTAATTATGAGAGGGAAATGCGTAACAGTGGAGTTAGGCCAAAGGTCCTGCCATAAATCATTAACAAGGACCCTATCAAGCCATTCATCCACCCAATCCCCATATCTCAATCCTCGCCAAGTAAAAGCCGACCCATTGAAGCCCAAATCAAACAAATTCGAAGAATTCATGAAATCCTCCAAATACCTGGGCCTATTATACAATACCTCAACCCCTCCAGACTTTTTATAAGCCCAAATGTACTCATTAAAATCCCCACCACATATCTAAGGAATCTCCGAAAGAATAAAGTGATTTAACATCTAACCCCAAAACATTTGTTTTTCATTTCTATAAGGAGTCCCATTGATCGGATCATATTTATATATATTTTTACTTCGAATTCACTCGTCTTTTCTTAGTTAGTTCCTTATATTTTTGAGCTATTTGCGTTATTTTTATGTTTATAGGATTTGTTATGCAAAGAAAATAAAAATAGAACAAGTGAAATTTTATGTAATAAATTCGTCAAACCTGTCTGTGTAGATCAGCTTTTAAATAAAATCAATAAAAGAAATAATAATGATAAATCATGATGATGTTTGAAACATCATCATGATTCATGTTTTGTGGCATAACAGAAAATAAGAGGAGAGACTAGAAAAGCTTGGAGTCTCGAGATGGTCAAGGGGAAGACGGGCAAGTGCAAGCTGCCGTGGGACGCAGGTGGACCAGCTAGTTTACATCGACAGAGAGGACGTGAAAAGAAGAATCCAAGGAGACAGCGGGGTCAGAGGAAAAAGAGGAGAGACGTGAGGCACGGGGAGAGCAAGTCAGGGACTTGCCAGGCGATAAAAAAGGGGAAAAACAGGCTGCCTTTGGCAGCGAGAGAGAGGGGAGACTGGCGTGACTGGCAGAATAAAAAGCTGCCCTTGGCAGCGTGAGGAGCACGAAGGCAGAGAAGGAGAGGCAGCACAGAAAACTGTGTGGATAGAGAGCAGTGAGGAGGATAGGCGCAGGTCAACAGGCGCGCGGAAAAAAGAGAGGGCCACGGCACAGAAGCAGAAACAAGCAGGGCACAGAGAGCAAAGCTTCACTCTATTTTCTTGGTTTTATCTTCTCAAACTCATGTTTAATTTTTGGTTTAATTTGATAATAATGTGTAACTAAATTTATTTTGGCTAGAGGTTAATTCAAAACCATGAATATATTTGTAATATGAATTGATTACCTTCAGTTGTGATTTCTGAGTTGTGATTTAATTTGCTTAACTGTTTGATTGATAACTTATTTTTTGTATGTCGATTAAGAATGCATACTTAATTTACATGCATGAATTTGATGCTAGAATATAAGTGAATTTCACCTAATCGTTATGAACATATAGTCACAAGTAGTGAAGGTTGCTAGTCACAATCACGTTAAGTAAATTCTTGGCAAGAGTATCATGCTTTTCATAGTTACGAATGCCTCGTCAATGCTTATAGTTTTCACAAAGTTTAATGATCCTTAATTGTATCTCTATTGTGCTTTTCACGTAGGGGACTTTTGAAGAATGTTTTGAATTGTTGTATGCGTTTTTCCGTCCAATTCAATAACTTAAGGAAAACTTGAAGATTAAAAAAGTGCTGTTCACGGTTAATCTGAAGTATTGAGATTCACAATTTATTGAAAGAACAACTGAAAATCAATTTAGGTTGCATATGTATCATGTGTGGAGAAGAACCCTCTATCTAGTCTATCACTTATCCTTTCACCTTAATTTCATGCTTTTGTCAATTCTGTAATTTATTTAAGTTTAATTTACTTCTCGTCAAAACCAAACCCTTCCCATTATTAAATTATATTATTTAGTTAGTTTTCATTGTTGTTAGTCTTTTAATTCAGTTTCCGTCCATTTCAGTTCCTAGTGTCTAATTTGATTGTTTTCATTATTTTGAGTCATTCTAAGTGTGTTTCAAGTTATTAGAGTTTTTAGCCTAGTTTTGTGTCCTTGAGTCTTGTTTAATATTTTTAAATTAATTTAGAATAGATTAGCAATCCCTCCTAATCCCCGGCCTATAACGATACCCTACTTACATCTATACTACAATTGTCAAAAAGAGGGTTTAATTTGTGTGTCAAGTAATTCTCACATCAAATTTTGGCGCCGTTGCCGGGGATTAGCAACTTTGCTAATCCCTTTATTTTTGTTTTTGCTTATGTTTATATTGGTGTTTGTGTATTTTACTTTTGATATTTGATTTATTTTTCTTTCTTTGATTTTAGGTACAAATGGAGCAAGACATGGCACTTGCGACCATTCAAGCTCAATTGGCACAGCTCACTGCTCAATTGACTCATAATGCTGAAAGGACCACAATGCAAAGTGCCCCTACATTTGATGTGCCCTATGGGCAAGGTTATCAAAGTCCTCAATTTTCTGCAAATGAAGATGTTTGGGGATATCAAGGCTATAACCAATCAAGGGGCAACATGTTTACCAACGCTTGCAATTCAGATTGGAGAGGTCATTCAAATTATATGTGGGGGGAACCTCAACAATTCCAACAAGATGGATATTGGCAGCAAGAGGAGGAGTTCTATTCAAAACCTATGCAATATGCTCAATCAAACTCAGGTTCGTCAATAAATTATAATCAAATTCTTAATGAATTAAATTGTTTGGTGCAGGGCTCACAAAATCAAGCCAAGGAGGCTCAACAAGATGCATATTGGCAGCCATATGAGGAGTTCTACACCACACCTATACAGCCACCACCGCATACCCCACAACAATTCCAATCTAATTCAAGTATGTCCATGGATAGTGATCAAATTCTTCAAGTACTAACCTCTTTGACGCAGGACCAACAAAATCAAGAGAAGGAGTTGGATAAATTGAAGAGTCAAATGGGAGAGATTATGGAATTCATGGTACAAATTCAAGAGCAAAGTGAACTTTCCAACTCAAACATTGCAAATTCAAAGGCAGAAGTTGAATTCGATGAAGCCATCACTTTGGAAGGTGACATGAAGGATGAAGCTGTCCCAGAACCATCCAAACACAGCCCGAACATGGATGAATTGCTGCTGCAAGCAGAAGAGGAGGAGGACGACCTGGGCAGTTTAGAAGAATTCTTGCTGCAAGCTCCTCAAATCCCTATGTCATCCAACTCAGGTGAGGAAGTTCTAAATTCACTTCATTCTAACATTATTCCACCGAATGTCCTTTGTCCTTGCAGGTTTTTGATTCCAAATATCAAAGAGAGTGAAAAAGACATTGTGGAAGCTCTTCCAAAGGTGCAAAGTGATATCCCAATTCTTGGTGCACCAAAACAAGTTCCCGATGGTATTGAAACGTTCAAAGAACCTTGCACACCAAGAAAAGGGATTCAAGAAAATGAAGTGGTTGAAGCATATCAAGAATACATCCAAGAGGCTGTGCATGACACAATCAAGCCCAAAGCAGTTGAGTTTGATGACACGGGACAAGCCACAACCATCATTGTAAACCTGGCCAAGTTCAAAGTCCCGGAAATGTTCAACAATGTGGTGTTTGTCATTGAGTTTGTGTCGGAAAAAGAAGGTAAGCCATCTTCTCCAATTTTAATTTTAATTTATACTAACATGTTTCTGATTTTGATGATTCAGGCACCCACTCTTGAATTTAAACCATTGCCGAATCATTTCAAGTATCACCTCCCATTAAAAGATAAATTTCATGCTTTGGAGCCGAGGGGAATTTAAAGGAAAGATTCGTCCGGCTAAAGACGTTAAATCAAGCGCTTCTTGGGAGGCAACCCAAGCATTCAACGAAGGGAGACTTTGGAATCGCTAACCAAATCAGATTTGCATTCTTACACCCTTATCTTTACTGCTTTCATTTTGTTTTGTTCAGTTAGTTGTGTTATTTGGTTGATTTCTGTGAGTTTGTGTTATTTAGTTTAAGTGTGGGGGAAGGTTAAACAAAGTCTTTTTACATTGATTTACATATTTTACATTGATTTAAAAAAAAAACAAAAAAAAAAAAAAAAAAAAAAAAAAAAAAAAAAAAAAAAAAAAAAAAAAAAAAAAAAAAAAAAAAAAAAAAAAAAAAAAAAAAAAAAAAAAACAAAACACACCTAAAAAAAAAAAAAAAAAAAAAAAAAAAAAAAAAAAAAACATAAAAGTAAAAATATTTTACAATGATGTGTAAACTAATAGCATTCATTGGTCAGGTGGTGCTTTAGTAGTCGGCGGAGCTTCAGCAGTCGGCGGGGCCACGGAAGGAGGAGGTATCGGAGGTTGATCAGTTGGAGCTTCACTACGCGATGCCGCTCCAGAAGACGAAGGCAGATGCTGTTGGAACAAACCCACAAACCTCCGATGATCAAGTAAAATTTGACCATCAGTGTCTTGCATCTGGTCAATTTTCCTCTTCATGTTGGTGGCATAGCTATGTGTGAGCTTGTGCAACTCTTTATTCTCATGCTTGAGCCCTCTAATCTCTTGCTTGAGACTCTGTATTTCAGCCACCAACGATTCAACGTGACGGGTTCGAGCAAATAGGCGTTAGGCCATGTTGGACACAGAACCCGCACACTGCACGCTAAGAGCCAGAGACTCCTTAACCGCCAATTCATCAGACCGTCTAGCGAGCAGTCTGTTATCTCTGGGGGTGACAAGGTTTCGGGCCACCACCGCAGCGGTCATGTCATTTTTCATCACCGAATCCCCAACGGTAAGAGGACCTGTAGGGGATATGAAAGATGGGCGCCATATGTTGTCTGGTGAAGGCGGAGCTGCCTCTTCACCAATGTTCAAGCCAAAACGACGATCGAAAGGGCCAGACATTTTCTGAAGGTGTTGAGAAAGAAGAGATCGGACAGATTAAGATTTTGGAAGTTTACAGGAGGGAGTGTTTACAGGAGGGAGTTCAAGTGTGTTGTGGAACAAAATTAACGCCTCTATAAAAAGAAGAAATCAAAGAGGCGCTCCTCAAAAATCGAAGAGGCGCCCTCTCGCAAATCGAAGAGTCGGGGCTCCTTTATCAAAAGCCGGATTCTTTTCTCAAAAGAGGCGTTTCATTTCTTAAAAGTTGGGCTTGCTCAGAAACCACGAGCCGAACCCCGGATTTCAAAAGATCAATTTGTCCAGACGTGTCGTCACTCGTCACACGCAAATTGCTTTGCAAAAATCTCGGGCAGTTTGTCGAAGCACCAATTCAGAAATCAAAGAGGGAAATTCAACAGTCAAAGACACGCTAGCTTTCTCAAAAGCTGGGCTTCAACCCACGGGCAAATCTTCTTTTCCAGATTTATCCGCACGTGTCACATGCTACCTCTACAATCGACGATGCTCAGAGCTCGAAGCGCCGATTCCAGATATCAATGAGGAATCTGCTTTGCGGAAATCACGAATAGCTGGTCGAAAATTTATGGTGAAGTGGGAAAGCACGTTGCACTGTTCTTTTACTCGTGTCGGTAACCCTAGGATAATTGAACAGTACCTCTACCAGCCATTAAGAAAATTCTATAAATGTTAAACTTCATTGCAAAGTAGCCTCACTCAAACCTTCTTCATCTCCGAAAATGCATCCCCAAAGAATCCTCCTAAGTTACTCTGTGTTCCTCATTCCTTGGGATACTCCTGCGAACAACACATTCAAAGCAAAAGTATTTCATATCATAAAGGTTGAAAGCAAGAGTATCTCATATCATGCTTTCTCCCTGTCCTTCTCCTTGTCTTTGTTTTACGAAAATGAGAAAGAGAGCAATCAGCCAGCATTTGGTATCAATCTTCCGATTTGGAGCCAACTGCCTTGAACCCCTTCCTGATTGCTTACCTAGCCTTGCTCTCGAGTACTCATCTTCTTCATCTTATGTTTCCGTTTTGTCTACCACATCTACTTGGGGGACAAGTAAGGGAGGTGAAAATGATACCTCGAAGCATGTGGAGACAATTTGTCAATTCATCCTCAGCTAGGGACAAGGAGAAAGAAAGCAAGAGGTGGGCACTTGGAAAGATTGAAGAAAGAATCAGACCAACACAGCTACCTTGTGCCTGCCTGCCATACGGAAGAAAGAAACAAGCAGCGAAGAACTCAGAAAAAGGAGTGCGAGAAAATCAGCGAGAAGGATTGCGAGAAATCCAAGAACTCGAGCAGCTTCAAACAACATTTGGAGGCACTCTTCGCCAAAGAGAGCAAAGCCTCGCCGTACAATATCATCAAATCATCACTTGCAAGTAAAAAGCTAAGTGTCACCCTGTTCAAGTGGAAAGCTGTGGAAAGTCAACAAGCACGACCAATGATCACTTATTAGTTCTATTCATTGTCTTTTATCGTGATTTTCAATTTTTCGTTTGCAATTTTTTTAATTTTCTTGCGTTACTTAACTGAATTATTTCTTTTCTTTGCAGGAACTTTTGGTTATTTCCACCCTTGAAGTTGATTGCATAATTTTAGCTTGGGGGGTCATCGCTTGGTTTTACTGCAAACTAGGGAAGTTTTCAGTCCAATTGCGTTATTTTGTTTCTTATTATTTATTTATTTTATTTTATTTTATTTTTATTTGCATTATAGTGTTTTTTGACATTGGGGACAATGTCCAGTTTAAGTGTGGGGGTAGACATCTCTAGAATTTCATTTGTTTCTGTGTTGTTGCTTTTTGTTTTCTTTAAAAAAATAAAAAATAAAAAATAAAAATAATAATAATAATAATAATAAAAAAATCGGAAAATTTAAAAATCCAAAAAAATATTGTCTTGTTTCCCTTATTGTTTTGAATTAGTTTTTTTGTTAGTTTCCCGACCCAATGATATAATTGGATCAAATTTGAACCATGATCATCAAGAACTTAGTTAACATGTGTTTTGTGAAATTCCTAATTCTCTTGTTAGTTTTGTACATGTTTGACCATCTTTGAAAAACCAAATGCACATAGCCTTGTTAATGTGAAACTAAAGTATGACTTAAAGCTTCATATGTGAATTTAGTGACCATATACATCCTATGTGAGTTTTTGAGCCTATTGAAAGTGTGTGCATTTTTCATACACTCCTATTCTTTCATGTGTGATGAACTTATGTGAGATACATCTCTAGAACTTGCATAACGATCTTTCGAAATGTTTGTCATTGATTGCATGAATTTGGAAATGATAGAGGCATTAGGTTTACCACTATGGCCCAAATAACCATGTTTCCCAAAGAAAAATGATATCATTAGATTGCCAATTTGAGCCGTGTATGTTGAGCCTTTTATTTCTTATCACCAGATATGTCTACCCTTATACCTGAAACATTTTTCCTTACCCTTTCCAAGCGAGCAATGCGAGATTGTCTTATGAGAAACGTTTGTGAAGTACTTTGAAGGTGTTTGGCAAAAGAATAAGTGTGGGGGTATTTCATGTTTGTATTTAAAAAAAATGATATAAATGAAAAAAAAAAAAAAAAAGGAGAAAAGAGAGAAAAAGAAAAAGAAAAAAGAAAGATTGCACACAAAGAAAATAAAAAGTTGTTCAAGTTTCAGTTTAAGGGTGTGGTTGGAGATGCTAAAAGAATCGTTGGAAAGATTGAGTTCTTATAAATCTAAAGAAAAGAATTGCTTGCAATGTAGCTTGGAACTTGTGTTTACCTATTCTTTCATTTCAATAACCCTCTCCCTAAACCTCATTACATCCAATAAAAGTCCTCTTGATGTAAGTTTTGCAATTATGATTGTGGAGATGAGATCTTTATGCAAGCTTATGGTAGAAATTTCACATTTGATTCTTTGAGCGAAACACATTTAAACTAAACACATGTGTGATTGAGTGTATATCCCGTGAGAAGGTTACTAGTTTGCATATGATGATTTTAAAAATAAAAACTTGAAATTGCATTAGCATGGCTATCTCACACACTACACTTCAAGGATGATTTAAAGATTACTGCTAATATTTGAATAAGGAAGATGAACTTGGATTAGTTCCTTGATGCTAGCTATGGTTCTTGATGATTTGTTTTCTTGAATGAAATTCTATGAGGGTCACATAGGGGGAAACTAATGTTTTTCTTGTTACGTCTTGTTCTTGTTTTCTTTGTTTTGCTCGAGGACTAGCAAAAGTTAAGTGTGGGGGTATTTGATCGGATCATATTTATATATATTTTTACTTCGAATTCACTCGTCTTTTCTTAGTTAGTTCCTTATATTTTTGAGCTATTTGCGTTATTTTTGTGTTTATAGGATTTGTTATGCAAAGAAAATAAAAATAGAACAAGTGAAATTTTATGTAATAAATTCGTCAAACCTGTCTGTGTAGATCAGCTTTTAAATAAAATCAATAAAAGAAATAATAATGATAAATCATGATGAAGTTTGAAACATCATCATGATTCATGTTTTTGTGCATAACAGAAAATAAGAGGAGAGACTAGAAAAGCTTGGAGTCTCGAGATGGTCAAGGGGAAGACGGGCAAGTGCAAGCTGCCGTGGGACGCAGGTGGACCAGCTGGTTTACATCAACAGAGAGGACGTGAAAAGAAGAATCCAAGGAGACAGCGGGGTCAGAGGAAAAAGAGGAGAGACGTGAGGCACGGGGAGAGCAAGTCAGGGACTTGCCAGGCGATAAAAAGGGGGAAAAACAGGCTGCCTTTGGCAGCGAGAGAGAGGGGAGACTGGCGTGACTGGCAGAATAAAAAGCTGCCCTTGGCAGCGTGAGGAACACGAAGGCAGAGAAGGAGAGGCAGCACAGAAAACTGTGCGGATAGAGAGCAGTGAGGAGGATAGGCGCAGGTCAACAGGCGCGCGGAAAAAAGAGAGGGCCACGGCACAGAAGCAGAAACAAGCAGGGCACAGAGAGCAAAGCTTCACTCTATTTTCTTGGTTTTATCTTCTCAAACTCATGTTTAATTTTTGGTTTAATTTGATAATAATGTGTAACTAAATTTATTTTGGCTAGAGGTTAATTCAAAACCATGAATATATTTGTAATATGAATTGATTACCTTCAGTTGTGATTTCTGAGTTGTGATTTAATTTGCTTAACTGTTTGATTGATAACTTATTTTTGTATGTCGATTAAGAATGCATACTTAATTTACATGCATGAATTTGATGCTAGAATATAAGTGAATTTCACCTAATCGTTATGAACATATATTCACAAGTAGTGAAGGTTGCTAGTCACAATCACGTTAAGTAAATTCTTGGCAAGAGTATCATGCTTTTCATAGTTACGAATGCCTCGTCAATGCTTATAGTTTTCACAAAGTTTAATGATCCTTGATTGTATCTCTATTGTGCTTTTCACGTAGGGGACTTTTGAAGAATGTTTTGAATTGTTGTATGCGTTTTTCCGTCCAATTCAATAACTTAAGGAAAACTTGAAGATTAAAAAAGTGTTGTTCACGGTTAATCTGAAGTATTGAGATTCACAATTTATTGAAAGAACAACTGAAAATCAATTTAGGTTGCATATGTATCATGTGTGGAGAAGAACCCTCTAGCTAGTCTATCACTTATCCTTTCACCTTAATTTCATGCTTTTGTCAATTCTGTAATTTATTTAAGTTTAATTTACTTCTCGTCAAAACCAACCCCTCCCATTATTAAATTATATTATTTAGTTAGTTTTCATTTTTGTTAGTCTTTTAATTCAGTTTCCGTCCATTTCAGTTCCTAGTGTCTAATTTGATTGTTTTCATTATTTTGAGTCATTCTAAGTGTGTTTCGAGTTATTAGAGTTTTTAGCCTAGTTTTGTGTCCTTGAGTCTTGTTTAATATTTTTAAATTAATTTAGAATAGATTAGCAATCCCTCCTAATCCCCGGCCTATAACGATACCCTACTTACATCTATACTACAATTGTCAAAAAGAGGGTTTAATTTGTGTGTCAAGTAATTCTCACATCACCCATACACCCCAGTGACACGAACCCATTTATTATCCCCTTTAGTGCGCTGAACAGCATCAATAATATTATGTGAAGAAAAAACAATTTGAACCTCCAGCGTGTCATCCCACCACAAGCTTAAGCCTTCAGCCCTACCAATAGGCGAGACGTTAAAACCGTTCAGAAAACCCAATCGCCTCTTCACCCCATCAATTCTATGATCTTTCATCTTAGTTTCAGATAAAAATATCATAGAGGGTCTCTTATTACAAATAAGCCCATGTAGAGCCCTAACTGACCCTAGACCACGACAGTTCCAAAAAATATAACTCATGGCTGACTTGTGGCTGTTGAAGGCCAGCTGCCACCACCCCGAGCCATCTTACCCACCTTGTTTACCAAACTCTGATCCTGGTCAGTTTCCGAGACATCCTCCAATAATTCCCTCATGTCACGAGCCTTACATGGGACTTCCCGACTCTCTTCCTCCGCAAGAAAAGCCCGTTCCACCACTAAACAAGTTTCCTTAAAACTCATGCTCCTCTATAAGTCAGCCACCCTACCTTTACTAGTCTCCTCTATACCAAGACCCCTGAACTTTTTTAGCAGAGAAGTAGACAGCTCCAAGCTCTGCGTTTCCATTCCCTTTTTAGTACCCCATTCAGCTACTCTACCTAAAGTGAAGAAATCCTCAGTAACTGCTAGGAGAAAACCCGACTGCTAGCCACCCGCATGTTGACTTCCTGAAAAACTAGAATGTGAGCAACCTTCCTCAACCGCCGTTATAGACGGACGGTCCCCATCAGCCTCATTCCCTGGAACCTGGTCAGTTGAAACCAAAAATCGTGGCTTTTGGCGCCACTTCTTTTTACTGCTTCCCTGGTGAGCAGAACCCACCCTAGATGCAATACCCCGAGTTACATCCCCCCTTAGTGAAGTCAAGACTCTTCCTCCCCGTTGGTTCTAAGACTGAGGAAGACCAGAGCCCCTCACCTCACCAGCCTGTCATCGCTGACCTATCCCAACATTTAACATTCTCAAAGGCTCCATAACATCCCTAACTGGATGCGCCTTTGTCCATTCCCCATACGCAGCCACCCCTTCACCAGGAGCCATAAAATTGCATTCTATATTACCATGCCCAATGCGTCCGCATCGGTAACAGAAATCTTGGAGCCGTTCATACCGAAAATCCACCAAAGTATCACGGTTCTGGTCCCTCTGAATCCAACAACCATTACATAACAGCTTACCCGTATCAATTAGGAGTCTAACTCGCAAGAACCCACGAGCTTTACCTAGATCCTCCAAAACTATAAACTGTCCAGCCGCTTGAGTAAGACGTTGAATATTAGCTGAAGAAATCAAGCCCAGTGGAATGCCACAAATCTGAACCCATAAGGGAATAGTCTCCATCTCAACTTCCTCCAAGGCTAGCTCCAGGGGCCATTTCTTGACAGATAACACCTTCTTCATCACTGCCCATGGTACATGTTCAAGAATTTTGAAGGCCATACTTTCATCTTGGACCGAAATAAGAAACGTATTATCCCTTACCCATTTGATGTCAACCTCTCCCAAATCTTTCCAAGACGATCTGAGAATATTCCTAACTCCCCATTTGTTCAACAGTTTACTCGTCAGAACTTTCCCAATCAATTTGACTCCTTGCTCCATAGACGATAAGTCCAACGCCTGATCCAAATAGACCACAAGCTCCTGTTAGAAATGTGCCCTAAAACCAATCATATGATGATACTTTACAGACATTTCACATGTTAAACTAATATAGTTTAATTTAAAGGGCAAAGATTATTGTTTGAAGCCATCTCATATAAATGTTATATGCTTAAACGATAAGTCCAAGGAATATGTAATTGGGAGAATGCGATCTAAACAAGTTAGATTCATGAGACCATTCTCTTCCATATACATATCCTAAACGTTCTTGATCATAGGATTGCCAATTGGGCATTGACAGTCCGTTAAGATCAGTACGTGTTATGTCTTCTCTTAAGGAGAGTGACTAGTCTCGAGTCATTGGTGTGACTGACACCAAGACAAGCATGTAGGTGCTCAATAGAGAATGAGTCCACTGAACACGATCAACAAGGAGTTATCATACTCATGTCACATGAGAACTCATGGTTAGGATAATGCAAAGTAGTCATTTGACTTGAGGCATCATAGTTGTCTTGTGGTTAGGTCATTGATCCTTGACTATGTCAAAGTCACTCCGTTAAAGGGTGTCCACGGCATAGTTGGGGTTAAGCCACTTAACCATGGAGGCAAGTGAATGCGCAACAAGGGATCTCTAACCTTCAAACTGTTGAAGGGAGAATACTCTATGATATGATTAAGAATCTCTGGCCAGAGTATGAATAAGATTTAGGAAGTCGTTCCAAATCACATTCAAGGTAATCATATAAGTAAGAGAATCACATTGGATAGTACACATGAATAAACTATCAAACCAAACAATGTGGTCAAGAGTATTGTATTAGAGAAAAACCGTATTGCATTGTAATCCTAAATTGAATAAGTTCTTCACCTCTTCTGATTAGCTTAGGTAACCATGACATACTGGTAGGTGTCACTCATGGTTTATGGAGCCCTAAACGTGTATAATCACTAAAGGAGAATTGAAAGTAAGTTTCAATTCACAATCGATTTGAAAGAGTTCTAACCGCCCACTGCCTCGCTAAAAGGAACCTAATGGATCGTGCACCGTGTAAGGTAGAGATTGAAGAAACAACGGAGATGAGTAAGGACAATTAAATGGTTTAATTGTTTATGGCAAGAATTAATTAATATGTTAATTAATTAAACGAATAAGTTCGTTTTAAACCTTGAGTTAGTTTTAGGCCTTAAAGCCCAAATTGGGCTTCGAATCGTCAAGCCCATTAGCTTAAGTTGTATGACAACTTAACAAACAAACTTCAAGAAGCCTAAAACAACCCAAAGGCTTGGGAAAACTGGCCAGGGGTAGTGAACTTGGCTTAATTGCAAGTTTGTCACTCCATTGTGAGGTGGTATAAAGGCAACTTTATAGCCATTTCATCCTTAGGGTTTCTTTTAGAGAAAAGATGAGAACACAAGCTCCATTTTTCTCTCTAAGAGGCCGGCCACCCTAGAGGATTATAGCTAGTAATCTTATTTCCTCTAGGTCACTCATCTCTTCTTCAAGTCCTACCTTGGTGTGGGGACTTAGAGGTTCTCAACTTTGGAAACTTGGAGAATCCTTTCAACCATCCTCATCCAAGAAATCCATGGAGCTAAGAAGCAAGAATGAAGGCCCTCTCCTTGGGTGATTAGCCTTTGCTTATGCAAAGAGGAATCAACAAAGATATAAAGTTTCTCAACTCACTTTGTTTTGAGTTGAGTCTTGGTTCACCCTTCTACTAGGATTTGAATTTCATGGGTAATGTTTTGTTTTTGAGTGCATACAAGCATGATTCTGCCTTTAATTGTTAATTGCATGTCATAGATGTTGCTCAAATGAACATGTTTTTCACAAAATTTTCTTCAGCTCCTCCACTCCACTATTCTCCATTAGAGAATAACACAGATTGACAAGTTGCCAAACCAGAACTACAGAGTACACCAGACTCGCTGCACCAACCCTCAGTATAATTCCCCAGAATAATTTGATAAACGTCTGAAGCCATGACTCACTACACCCTGATAGATAAGGGAAAATGAACAATCCCATAAATGCATTCACTATCATATACCTGAACGGGATAGGTGAAATACACATTGGAGATACACCTGTCGCCGAGATCCCAAATGGCCAATAAATGACATATTTAAGACCAGAACTCCCCCTTGAATAGATCCTCATAAATACATAAACGAACAGTAGCTCCAAACAGTACATCTAAAAATCCCCTACCCACCAGAAACTGGTAAGGAAGAGTTAAAGCCTGATACCGCCGCACAGGACCAAACCACCAAACGCTCAGCAAAACCCCCCAATTAATTGACCAATCAAACCAGGAATTTAAGACCCCACCTACACCCACCCAAAACCCCAACCGTAAAAGGATAAAGCGCCACATACCCACACAACCAGCAAAGAACCGAAGGAACCAACAAAGAGAGACAAGACAGGGAAACAACATGAACACAGCAGAACAAAGAGAGCAAACAACACGCACAAAGGCGGATCTCACAATGGAGAAAACACTCTCACACCAGAGAGAACATTCATCTAAATGGCTCAGCTCTGCAATCTCATTGATTAACACATTATACACTTCTAAAAGCCCGTGGATGGGGACTGTTCATTGACAGTGCCCACCCGATTTCGTCTCATTACATTATACACTTCTAAAAGCCCGTGGATGGGGATTGTTCATTAACAGTGCCCACCCGGTTTTGTCTCATTCTCTTCATGATTTTTCAGTTTTATTGGGGTTGTATGGTGAATTGGCCATTTTGCCCCTCTCTCTCATTTTCTTTCACTTTTCACTTTCCTCTTCTTTTCTTCTCTTTCCGTTTCTCTCTGTTTTTGGTTTCGATTCCGATCGAATTCTCTACAAGGTGTTTGCCATTTTTTCCCCTGTTTTCCACGAAGGAATCGCTCGCGTCTAGGTATGTTGATTTATACGTTTGTTTACTTTCTGTTTGGTTAGGAAGAAAATTTTAATTGATTGTTGCCAAGTTCGGCTCTTCAGCTTTTTGCCCAGCTTTTTCTTTGTTTTTTCATGCTCTAAGTCTGATTGTTATCTCTAATTTTGTATTTTGATTGCAGGAAACCTTTTTCTTCCAGTTTCAGGGTTTTATTCTTTGAGCTTGTGTTTTAGTTAAACGGTTAAACATATCTCAGAAACACATGTGGATGATCATATGATTAATTTTTGGGAAGAGAGAGAGAGAGAGTTAAAAAATGTAGTCTATGTGAGTTCACATAATTTTCCTTTCACAGTTTCATTGCGGTGCAGATTAGCTTAACCATTATCTCTTAAGAGCTAGAAAGGTTATCCAGAGGATTACATGTTATAGGTTAAAAATTGAGGAGACAATATGACTAATAGATCAGGACAAAAACTGTGTATCATTTTGAGGAAACAATATGACTGATTTGGATTTTTTTTCATTGGTGAAAAAAAGATGGTTAGCAGTAAATTGATTGTATTTTTATTTTTATTGAATTCAGGTAGCCATGATCAGTTTTTCAGTTTGATTTGAAGGAATTTCTTGCGCAGAAGAGCTAGGGTTTCTTGGTGGTGCATCTGGGTAATTTTCTTTTGTTAAAATTTTGGGGCTTTTGTTATTGTGATTTCGGGTATTGTGATTTTGGGGATTTTGTTTGTAGGTTTGGATTCCCCATCATGGTGTCTAATTTTGTTTTGTTTTTGGCTTTAGGAAATCGTGGTTTTTTTTATTTGGGGCTTTTGTTTGCAGCCTTCAGAGCCATGTGTATTTGAGGTGAGCGATTTCAAGATTTTAGAGTTCTGATTTAGAGTTTTGTTTGGTATTTTGGTTATATTGGACTTGAATTTGCTTTTTTGTTGTCGATTATATTGAAATCAGATCTTGGGTTTAGATTTTTATTTGGTTTTGATTATAATTTTTTGCACTTATTAGATTTGATAAGTTTAGATTCGGTTATTAGTTTGGTTTGACAAGTGAGGGAGGTAGAGGGAGAGAGATAAATAGTGGTTTGTCATTTTAAGTTAGTGGTCTGCTGCTTTGGACTCATTAGTTCAACCTCTACTGGATAACCAAAACCAGGAATATAACATAAGATAAGAAATCAAAATCTTAAGTATATGCTATTGGAATAAAATGATATCACACATTCTTTTCATATAAAATAATTGACGAACAGAACCAAAGTGTCTCAAAAGCATTGGAGGGCTAAACATTTCTAAGGAACTCATATGGATGATCATGGTTAATTTTTGGGTTTAATTGAGTTGTTTCGGTTTATACCTTGTGTCAAGTTTTTATTATTTTATTAAAAGGCCAGACATTATTGAGGGATGAATATGACTAGAATAGTAATTGAGACAATGTCTTTGGCAATATGATAGAGGGCGTTCTAGCTTTATTTGATAGTTTGGGGACTGTAGCTTTGTATATTGCTGAAAAAGCCAAAGAAGGGGATGGCTTCATAAATTTGTATAGGCGAAAAATAAGAGGATTTTTTTTCCAGAGGGTTTTTTTTCTATGTTTAGATCTTAGGTATAACTAGATAATTTTGTTGTCTTTTCATTTGGAGGAAATAGTGATTTTTGAGGGTTTTGTCTGCAGCCTTTAAAGTTTAATAGTGGTTGCTTTCAATTCAATCACGAATTGCTGAGAGGTTGAATTTAGCACTGAATGCAGAAGAGAGCACTGAGCATAGAGCTAACAAACTGCACCGAGTATTGAAGTCGAGAAAAAACTAAGGTTAATGTTAACTAAATTTATTGATTTTTTGTGCATGGGTTAATCTATTTGTTATATGTCATGGTTAAATTTTGGTTTGTTCCCGTTTTCTTTTTATCAATCCTCTCCCTCTCCCTTTCTAATTTAAATTGAATTATTCTGGCATCCATGGATTTCAGCATCGTATTTCTTAGACCTTAATTTTTTTATTTTTTAGACTTAGAGTACTTGGATCTAACGGAGGACATGACACAGAACCGAGCGCAATGGCGTTCTAGGATTCCTATAGCCACTTAGTGGGAAAAAGCTTTGTTGTTGTTGTATCAGGAGCGGCTAAGTAGTTTTATGTCTAAAATATTATCCTCGGATATAAATCTCAACTGCTTTGTATTCCATCTGATTTTGATAACATTTATAATTTTATATAAATTTGCTCGATTAATAATGTATGACAAGTTATTTTAGTAACATTTACACTGTTATCTGTCATGATTAGACTTTCAGTTTGTTTCTTTTTTATTTTGTAAATTCTGTCTGTTTTGCCCTTAAATTGGATTATGCTAATCTGCATAAAATTGAGAGTCTTGTTGATAAAAGCTTTGTTTTTATTCTCCTGTTATTGAAAGTAGCCTGGAAATATTTTAAGTTTGTTTTATCTTTATTTGAAAATGAATTATTTGTGTTTGCAATCATCTGCAGGTTAATTTCAATTTGAAAAAAATCTCTGCCACATCTTGGTTCCTACAATAATTTTAGCTGCTGAAGTAGCTTTTAGCTGTCAAGGTTTCAAGCAATTGAGTGTGTTTGTAAGTGCTTTTTGTTTTCGTAAGATTGTGTTAAAGATTATATAATGCTATCACTAAATATATTTTATTGCATAAGACACCGATTTCCATCTTTGTTGTACTAAACTGAAAAAAAACTTATCTTTTCTGAGACGTTATTCAAATTCCCAACCCAGGTATGTATCCAATTTCACTTACTCTTTATTTTTCAATGCATTTGTTAGTATAAATTAACATAACATTAGTCAAAACTGAACAACTTACAAATTATGCCCAATTTATTTTTAATAATTTTTTAGTTATTACCTATGAACTTTCTTATCCCGCAGCAACGCACAGGCGCCACCTCCTAGTGAATTCTGAAAGTGTGGAAGTAGAAAAGCTCAGCAATCTGCGCTTCTGGAATATTTGGCCAACAAACACCGTAAGTTGTTCCAAGTTTAAAATCTCAAATGTTTGTTATTGCTTTTGTTGAACGTAGCATGCTCCAAATACTCCCAGTACTTGTCAACATCTAAAGTTGTTAAATTAGGGGATTCTCCTTTTACAACAAATTTATTAGCAGTTTAAAATTTCTCTTTAAATTCTGTCAATTTTCTAAATATCGAACTAGAATTTTGTGAATTCCATGTCAATTTTGTAATCCAGCTCCAAAGCAGGGAGTCAAATGCCGGAGACGAAATATGCTGCTGATATTTCCTCTATAAGGGAAGCGCAAGCACACATCGAGCCATTCATGCACAAAACTCCGGTCTTGACCTCGGAATCCCTCAATGCTCTTTCAGGAAGACGCCTTTTTTTAAATGTGAATGTTTACAAAAGGGGTGAGACTCTACTTCGCACTCAATCATGTCTCTTCTTTTCTTTTGTAACTACGTTTGGATTTCATTAAGGTAATCTATGTGCCTACCTATACAGTGGCGCTTTCAAATTCAGAGGCGCTTGCAATGCGGTGTTTTCACTTGATGATGATCAGGCTGCCAAAGGGGTTGTAACACACAGCAGGTTTGATTTCCACTCATTTGCGTGTCATCACTACTTTCCTTAACCAATTTGTACGATTACAGCCTGATTTTGTTCTCCGAATTTAGTGGTAACCATGCAGCAGCATTGTCTTTGGCTGCAAAACTACAGGGGATCCCTGCATACGTAGGTCAGATTATCTGGAGTGAGGCCACTATGCCGTCAAGGGAAAGTACAGCAGCTAAGGTGTTGCAAGAAACTGGCGCAGTTCTTCTCCATCCTCACAATGATAGGCGCATCATACGGTACAAATTGACTTCAGTTTATTTGCATTTAATCACGTATGTTTGAAATTTCACCTATGATAAGGGAAGAACATAAATCTTTTGCTCAAGAGATGGGCTTGTTTTGTGCAAATGTTTGAAACTTAAAATGTATCTTGAAAATCTAATGAGCTGATACACTATAAAGACAACTTAAACAGATTGCTTTACAGTAGTGTATGTGTTTACTTAAAGAATGACCAGATCAAAATCATATTATGATTTGTAAAACTGCTGGTAGTATCGCGTTTCCCATATTTTGTCTCGGAAGTACACTAATAGCTGTTCTCTTGAATTTCATGGCGACGTATTACCCTGGTTTTTCCTCGGCAAGTATTACTAATACGTAAATCATTCCAGATGCATTAGCGAAACAACTTCTTTGTAGGTTAATCCATTAATGCTGCTGCTAGACAATGCTGTAGTTCGTATTAATGTATTTGAACACATTAGCATTTAGTAACATACCTAATGAGATTAGGGCTTTATTGCATGTTTAAGTTTAACTGTTCTTGCAGTGGGCAGGGTACCATTTCACTGGAGCTTCTGGAGCAACAAGTTCCGCAGTTAGACGCCATTATAGTACCCATAAGCGGTTGGTTTAGTTACATGTAATCATAAAATTCGTTTGATTGGTTCACTTTTGTTGTGCATATTTCTGTTGTTGATTTTTGAGCTTTGTAGTAGTATTGATTTATGTATATCTGTCTTAAATCTTTAAATAAGGATTTGCCGACAAAAAATTCGAGTTTATAAATACACGGGAGCATGATAAGAGTCTTCAAAAGAAGAAAATTGTAACAATTATCTCTCAACTTTAATCCAATTAGAGCAATGATCTCCCTATTTTAACCTAATTAGAGTAATAGTCTCTCTACTTTAACCTAATTAGAACAATAGTTCCTTAACTAAAAATTCTAAACTTTTGGCCCCTTAATTGGTCAAAACGTGCATCTATAGTTATTTTCGTCAACTCTTGCTAAAACTTACGCCAAAATGATTCACCATGCACGTGAGATTGAATCAGGAAGCAAATATGGGAAACTAAATGAGAAAATTATAGAAATGGTTCATCAACTTTAACTCAATTGGAAAAATGATCTCTCAACTTTAATCCAATTGTAGCAATGATTATTCCAACATGACTCGTTTTGACAAAAGTTCTGACAAAGTTGACAAAAAAGACAATAGCTGCATGTTTTAAGGAGTTAGAGACCAATAGTCATAGTTTTTTAGTTGTGGAACCATTGCTCCATTTAGATTAAAGTTGAGGAGTCATTACTATTATTTAATTTAATGTGAAAAACAAATTTTTTGGTTGTCGATTCAGCTTCTACTCACCATTTTCCGACAAAAATACCCCTCAGGTTCGACAAAAAGTTCGACTCTAAAACCGACATTGGTGCGTTATGCAATTATGAATCAAACAAACCTAAGTCCTCCAAATTGTCTCTCAAGTGTGAAGTTAAACGATGTTCCACTCAGTTCAACCGTAAAGTTGACACTAACAAACTTATTTCCAGTAACATCTGTTTGGACAGCTAATGGATTGCTATTTTCTAAACGACTACAACTGCCTTCTGGTTCGTTATTAGCGTGATTTCGCTTACTGAGGTCGACGCTACAAAAGATGAAACAGACATAATCAACGTTGTCGGTAGAACAGATGTTACAATCGTTCGAAACAATTTGGAGGACTTAGGTTTGATTCATAATTGCATAACGAAGCGCCTTCTTATCTCATTCCAAGCACTCCAAAGCGTAGCGAATGCTGTTGCAGCTGACAAACCTCACTCTTCCTTCCGAGCCTTCGATTTCGCAGGCCTTGGAGGTTTTATTACATAGCTCAGTAGGATCAATGCTATGGGAACAATGGTTCCGATGAAATGCACACTTCCATATGAGGCGAGTGTTTCGTGAAGGCTTAATACCTGCACCATGTGAGACCAACGCATGAGAAAACTTTAGTGCATCGGAGGGTGGTATGTGTACATGTACATGTGTGTCATGTGTTCATGGTATGTTTGGATGACGTGCTCGTATTAATGTGTGTCTGAATCACATGTGTTCATGTTCATGCGTGTGTCTAAAAATGGCATGTCTGCATGTGCGAGAGAGAGAGAGAGAGAGAGAGGACTAACAATGAAACCAACACAGGAGTAGTTCAGAACCAAGACAGTGTAAGCAAAGTTGATGAACACCAATATCTTCTTAACAACGTCCATAGTTGGAGGTACATCTTGCTGCCATCTGTAAATCGCTGCTTGCGGAAAAGGTAGAAAATGATACAGATTAATTATCTTAAAGAACAAATAATTAGTACATGCTTGCTTATTAAAGCACCTACCCTTCACGGGTGGATAGCAATTTAATGAAACAAAGAAATAACTAGTGAATTAGAAGCGGAAAGACCAATACCTCTTGATCCGGCAATCATCAATGCTGACTGAACAAAGAATATGATGTACCCCGGATAGAGGCCCTGCAGTTCAGAAATAACCAATACGATACAGATAATTCAAGTTTGAAACGTGCGAAAAATCAAACATATTCTGGAGATAAGAGAACATAAGGGTTTGAAACAAAAAGTAAGCCGAGTAGTTAGTTGAAGAGAAACTTAATGGGCACGAGCATAAATTTTGGTAACTTGGCTTGACGACGCTGAGTGGTGGATAAGAAATTATTACGTTAATATTGCAAGTACCCTACCACCCAAAAAAAATATCATTTCACTTTAGCAATTTGAACACAAATGAGCACCAAACCAAACATTGGCACAACTAAAAAACTATAGGAACACATGAAATAACACAAAAAGCATAATTACATTTAAAATAACACAAGTCACAGAGTTCTTTTTGGCGCCAAAAGTGGTGACATGAAAATACAAAACTGGAGGGCATGTTGTTACCTCATCCCCACCCCACCAAATTCTACCCAGCCACCTATTTTTCGCCTTGTATTTGTTAAAGGCACAAAACTTAAACAAAAAATGTAAGCGTAAAATGCATTAAGCAATGTAAGTTACCTAAAGATTGAAATTTGCCACATAATGATTAGATTGAAACCTAAGAATTAAAAAGCAACTAAATGCGAAAATATCATTATCCAACCTGATAGTAATAAATAGTTTATACTAAGTAAAAGTATAAAATATGTGGGGCGGGGGGTGGGTTGGGGGGGGGGGGGGGTGGTCAAAATCCATCACAAGCTCACATCCTTGCCCCATCCTGCATCGAGTTTTAATTTTAAATCCAATCGCTACTCAATACTCTACTACAGGAAGAGTAAATCATCCTGTTGGTGCCCTAAAACATTCAGTCCCAGCATCCCCATTAGATAAAGAACACTACAGAGTAACAAAGTGCACACATTGTAGCTACACAAGGAAACTGTTTATCACGTTTTGAAGAGAACTGTGAACTGGTTAATTATCTGGTAGTAGTTGACCGCTTTTCCTTTTTTTTTCTTTTCTCAGTTTTTTTTTTCAAGTATAAAAGATGGACAGCTAAATCCACTCTATAGAATGAATGCCAATAGATCGTTTAAGAGAAGCTTAGAACCTAGGAAAGCATTTGTAGCAGAGCTATTGTTTGAAGAAACAAAGTCTAAAATGGACATAAAATCAGCAAAAGACAAAAACACACATTCAGGATGAGGGTAAGACAGTTTATACTCACATGCCAAACAGCGCTGACAGTCTGTGTAGCCAGCAACTGGAAGAAACCAGCCTTCTTGCCAGGTTTAACAAGCCTTTCATACACATCTACAGAAAAAAAATATATTAGATAATTGAACAGTAAATAGTCATCTTTTGATTCATGTGCATAATTTACTAATAATTTTGGGATATTATAAGAAAGTACGTGCTTTCTTGATCAGAGCTAAAATAAGAAAAAATTTGGCCATTAAATGCAACAGGCACAAAACTGAAGAAACTAGTGACCAGATACCAAACTTCAAATATTGATACCAGGACCAATTACTCGTATAGTTCTTTGCATATAGAGAGCTTAAAAATGAATACAACTCAGTCCTTACTAGGATTCATAGTTTGGATATGCAAAAGTAGTTTCCTGGGAAAATATTTAAAAGAAACAAAAATATGGATTGCATGTTACTGACAAAAAGAAAACTTAGGAAGGAAGAGAGATGCTCACAATGACGAAGCCAGGTGCTGACTTGTATGTTCCAAACAAGTGGTAACTGAACTGAACTCTTTGCAAACTCAACACCTATAATATCAACATTTTTTGCACGATCCCACCCAGGTTTTGGTGGTGAGGACTCTGTCCAGCCACTGAAACCGAGACCCGAAAGAATGATAGAAGCCTCTGATATTGACCAAATGAAATAATATTTCCACCTCGCTGTGAATCCAGACATATACTGGTAGCTCAGTCGTTTCCAAAAACCCCATTCTTGGTATATGGGCTCAGTAAATCTTGACAAAGGAAATTGGGGTACCAAATATACATACAAGGCCATACAGAATGCAGCTTGGAGAAGAGCTCGAATTGTTGCTCCGTAGGGTGATGGAGATGGTCCTTTCTCTGAGCGGCTCCATATCTGAAAATGATAATTAGTAAAGGCCAACATATGAGAAGGGTCAACCTCAAGAAAACAAAACTAAGAAGAAAGGAAGACGCTTAGTACATAATAAGCATACCCCTTTTCCTTCGGTCCAGTCAAGATAATCCTTCATTTCATAAACTGGACCAGCAAAGTGACTACCACAGCCGAGGCAGTAGCCAAAGTACTCGATCAAAGAGGGTAACTTAATCAACCGGTTTTTCTTCTGAGACTCACGCAGACCTTCCTCTTTCAATACCCCATCGTTGTAATTGATTGCACACGAGATGACTTTCAGTGTTAACACCATTAAGGCCCCTAAGTATGAGAAGGAAATTCAAGCTTAACTGACGCGCATAACAAATAATAGTGCATGAATTCTAGTAATGTTCCAATATATACATTTTTAGTCATGTTAAGAATTCAATAGAAGAGTCCATGAATTCTAGTAAAAAATAAAAAGAAACGGAAGTCATCAAGGACCAAAAACAGAACTCGCCATTTTCTTACAGGAGATCGAGACTCTGCAACCTACTAAAGAGCAGATAATAAAGGAAGAAAGGAAACGCAAGCCGACTAGAAAGGCTGATATTGTGCTTACCAGTTGCATCAATTCCTCCTTCCTTCCATGCGTCCCCACTCATGTAAAATACATGGCTACACATACAGACAAATGTATATGAATGATCAAGAATTCAGAAACAAAACTTTTATAAATCTCTAGATAGATAAACATTAAAAATTATCGCATATAGATGTTGTTATCACGTCAAGACCGTCAAACATTAACAAACAATGTTATGTCAATGAAGAACACAAAGATCGCCATACCATTCACATACTGTTAAATATGCAATCATAGTTTCTCCCCAACATCACAAGTGATTGAAACGTAAAAAAAGAGCACCACAATTGATAATAAGAGTTCAAAGACATAATTTTGGGACAAGTCAGATCTGTAAAACTTAGAACGTAAAGGTCCAGAATTTTCAAGAAATTAACAGGTTATAAGAAAAAAAAACGAATTAATTTAAATTCATGATGCATTGTCAAATTCGATCATCCATATTTAAAACAAAAAGAAAATTAATAACACTACAGATCATAACATAACCATACCAATCAACCAACACGAACTATCCAGTCAATCACAAGCTTTAGAAAACTAATTAATTTTTTTTTTATAAACTACAAAACTTACAAAACCACCAATTCAAAATAACACTACCCATCAATTTTTTCTCACAAAATTCGATCACCAAACTCAAAAATAAGGAATCAAATTGTTCAGAAATTACTCATTGGGTCAAATATTAATTTTTGTGTTTCGGAAATGTACCAGCCGATGAGGTAGCCGAAGCCCAGGATAAAGGTAATGATTCCGCAATGGTTTCGGGCGAAGACCATGGAAGCATAGCCAAGTAGCATTGGGACTAAGAAATGGAGGTTGGAAGAGAATCCGAATGAAAGATACGAGAGGAGAGCGCCGGAAGCGAAGGCGTAGAGGTGCTTGGCGGGTGGACTGGGGACGAGTCGCCAGATGAAACTGACGGGGATGGTGGCGACAAAACATAGGAGGAAGCGGAGCACCGGGACCGAGACGCCGATCGCGGAGGCCATGGATTCCATCTCAAGGCCCATGGCTTGTAGTATCAATCTGCAAATCAAATTGACAAACCTGTCCTGATTTTTATTTAAAAACTCGATTTTTGAGAGAGAGCCAAATGACTGATATGCCTCTGGGCGGACGTTTATATTTTTCTTTTAACTAACGATATTACATATACTTTGATACGGGGATTGAGCTAAATTCTACAATAGATTTATCATAATAATATGATTTAAAATCACTTTTCATGTACAATTGAAGAAGAATATCCTTATACCGTACTATTAAGTAGCAAGCAGACGTTCTTATTGTTTGTGTGGGATTTAGTGATGAAAGTTGGTTAGGTGTTGGAGGTCTAATGACAAGTACCATTAAGTAGCAAGCAGACGTTCTTATTGTTTGTGTGGGATTTAGTGATGAAAGTTGGTTGGGTGTTGGAGGTCTAATGACAATAGTGTCCTTGGACAATGTCTCTTTCTAGTCCATAATTTGTTGAAGTCATATCCGGCATTTATCCATCTCCGGCATTTTCTTGTTGAGTAGCTGAAATCGAAGCGTATTTAATTCGAAATTAAATTGTAGGTTTTTTTTTTTTTTTTTGGTCGACATGAAGCTTCATTAATGAAAGAAAAATACAATTTGTGCTAGAAAGGTCTAAACCTAAACAAAGCACAAAGCCTTACACAACAAAGCAAACATAAGATAGAGGACAAGCCCAAACAAGGAGAGCTACAAATCCAGCTACAAAAAGAGGCCCACACTGATTTAGGCTCGTAGGCTACAAAATAAACAATAAACAGTAAAACCCTCAAATCCTGAAGCCAAAAACTGGTCACCACCGCCATAACCATCGTTACCTCCGCGAAGAAAGACATCGCACCAAACAGAAAAATGCACCCAAACCAAAACCCAGATCTGAGAGTATTGCTCAAAATCAATCCACCAAGAGCCAAAGCCACCACAGCCACACCTGCAAGAAAAGTCACCAATCGTAACAGTGGGAGGGGGAAGGCGAAGAGGGTGTGTAAAACACCCTTATTCCGACGTGAATCGTTCCACACTTCGCCCAATTTTTTCAGTAAGCCGGATCAACAGTGGGTTGTGTGGGTTGAGTCTTGAGTCAAGATAGAGCCCAATACTCATAGATCTAAATCATGGTTCAGAGTTGGGAAAGATGAAGGGCAGCAGGAAGGAGGTAGGAGAACAGGGTGTGATGGGGAGGGATGGGGGGATGACGGTGAGCGACTGATGATTAAGGAGAGGGAACAAAACTAAGACCAAAGCTCAGATAGATGAGACAAAACTTAGAAGAAAAAAAACATTGAAAAGATAGGGAATGGAAGAGAAGAAAGAAAAGTAGAAGGAAGCATGAGAGATTTTCAAGGCTGCCACCGATCTTAAAGCCAAAGGTTAGGGCCGGCGGCTGAGCAAGGGTTTCTCTTGGCGCTTTTCCTTTTACTATTTCTTTGAGACTTGGAAACACAACAAATGATTCGGAAGGAAAGATGGGCGCCATTGGCCCCAGATCCCAACTTGAAACCACCAACCAGATTGAAAGATTGTTGTGCTCGCCTTACTTGACAACGAAATTAGGTGACATATCGTCTAAGTTTGGATAAATTATATTTTGCACCCTTAAATTTGGGTGCAATTGCAACCTCATACTTCATCTTCAAAAAATTACGATGTCATACACCGAGTTACGATTTAGTTGCAATGTCATATATTCGTTAGTCAATTCGTCAAACAAGTGTAGGTCTCACATATATGCTGACATGAATAAAAATTATATTTTAATTATTAAAAAAATCATTTAAATATAAAACTAATCTAAACCCTAATTAGAACTTAAGAATATGAATAATACGCTATCGCTTCTTGTAAAAAAAAAAGAATGAATAATAAAAAGGGGGCCCATCCCATTCTCTTCCTCTTCCTTTAGTAACTTTAAAACAGAGAAGAACCGCGTGAACTACCCCTTCTATTTCAAGATGGAGCTTGCGAATAAGATGACTGTTGTTGTCGCCTACACCCCGACGTCAACTCGCAGGAAGGCTAACTCATCAACCCACACAAGATTCAAGAGTATTTTAAGGACTTTTACGAGGATATACTTGAGGAGCTCACCATTAAACTAGTGGTTGCGGGATATTGAATGGTGGATGTGAGTGTAGGGCATTGTTGTGATTGCACCAATAGTTTTTTTTTTTTTTTTTTGGGTAAATCGCACAAGTAGTTTAAGTAATGCCTTCGTGAAAAGCTCAGCAAGGTTGTCTTGGAATCGGATTTGCTTAACTTCAATCTTTTAATGATCACGCTAATGTGATGTAGATGCCATATATTGGGCGTTGACTTTTTGCATGTATCATGTTATGGTTGATAGATGCAGCATAGTCTTCATTGATCGTTGTTAGACGCAACGATGGATTAAAACCACATATGCTTTGAAAATGCTTAACAAGACTCTCAACCATGTCTCTCACGTGCGGCGTAGTGTGGTGCGTGTCTTGGAACGATTCAAAGATTTCGCACTAAGGTCTATATCATGGACCTCTAAGATATTGCAGTGTTCCTAACAGTAAAGACATAACCCGTTTGGAAACGTACCTTGTGCATATCAGATAGGTAGTCTATGTCAGCGTAACACACAAGTTATGCATTTTTTTTAAAACCAATGGGGGTGATTCATTAGGGATAGAATAAGCCCAAAATCGTAGTAACTAAAAAACATCTTTAACACCAATTTGGGGGTGGTATGTAGGCGCAGTACTGCTTTATGCCAAAACGTTATCAATAACTAAGATGTCTGATCTGGTGCTTTGAGCTAAGTACAATAAACGGAAAACGCACTTAGATATGGAGCTTTAGGCTCCATAGTCTCCACAAAGGTCCCTTTTGATGCTAGATGAGTATACTCGAGGGTAACACCTTCTGGGTGTAGTCCGACTGGTGAACCAGTATATTGTCAAAACCATGCTCAAAACTTTAAGTCAAGATAGTGTTGAGTTTTTCCAAGATATTTCATCTCAAATTCCAACTTTAGGTGCAAGGTAGTTTTCTCAAGCTTTGCAGGAGTCTGAGATTCATGTCATCGACATGAACTTCAAGTCTAGTAATTTCATATTTGTACACGTAGGGGCATATATCCCTAACTGGTCAAATATTCACTTAGATTGGTACACCATCTGCCCAGATTGTTCTGAATCCGTAAAGTGAACGCCTTGTCTAAATCTAGAGGGTATTCAATGGTCTAGAACCATTTGAATGAGTACATGTAAGTCATTCGGAAGCTTCCATGTAGTTTTTGTATCATAATCCCAGAGATACATTACAACTATGTTTATAAGCTGCAATCAATCTAGGGTGTATAAGAGAAGCCTTGTACCATAAGGCAGCATTATACCAAACTATTTCATTCATCTTATTTGACGTGGATTGTGTCTTTCTAGTTAACCAATCCATTCTACTTTGTCACTAATCAATAGAACGCAGTTTGATACCGTTGCTTTTCATTTATATTAGTAGCTACCATATAAGTAAAGCATCATCGATGATAATTTCATTCCAATTTTATATCTCATCCAAACTAACTAGACCAAGAACTTCAAGTCTCAGGAGTAACCTGGATTAATCTCATGAGATGGAAATGATTGAGACAACAATCGAGGAAGGGATTCGTTTATGCCATGATTCTCTCATGAGACAGAAATCGAGGAAGGGATTCGTTTGTGCCATGCTTCTTCAATTCCATGGAGGTGAATCTTTCAAACCAGTTGATCTGATGCATTTTAGACCAAAGACAGATTGATTGGCTATGTACGGGTGTATAGAGGTTGGCCACTAGGTGCAGTAATCCACCCGTGAATGAATTGCTGATGCATGTAGTAACATCTCTTCTAAGGACAATGACGTATGTAGCTACATTTATCCATGCAAGCATGTTTGCAACTGGTATATGCAATTTTGTTATTTTTGCTAGAGCAAAGAAAGCACCTAGAAACACTCTGATGATTTAGAATACGAGATCGAGATGAGATATAGCGAGGACGTCCATGATAATTCATGTCGTTCTTTAGGAACGTTAATGTTTTTATCTCCCCCAAATAGTATGAAGACTGTCTTATGAAAGTGAAAGGTCGCTTGCACAGGCTTTAAGAGAATCATAATCAACATTGATTCATATATTTTTTTAGGAACTGTATTGGTATATTGTTGCGGCTCAATTAGCATACAAAGTGTACACCCAAATGCATAAGTACGAAACATTACATTTGTACCAAGTTACCAATTGTAGTGCCAAAATAAGATTGGGTGGCAATGGGCCTTAGGTGGACCAACATATCTGCATGTAATATTATATAGGCCTACATAGAAAATTTGAAAGCTTGGTGTGTTCCCTACCAAAGTCTGTACGACCACTGAAAGGTGTTTGATGATCGATTTTTGCGAGATTGTTTGGGTGTGAATATAGGGAATTGAAATTTTCAACTTATATCTAATTAAAATGTAATAATCATCGATTTTGTCGATGTAAACTCTCCAACATTATCTAGTCTTCTGGACTCTATATATAATTGAAGTGATGAGCTCGCAACTTAATAATTGGTGCCAAGATTCTAGCAAACAGTGTTGGGTATGGACAAACATGTGACCAATGTGTGATACGTCAACCAAAACCCTAAATTAATTAAATGGTCTGCATTTTGATTGGATTAGTTCACAAATATTGCCTTCAATCTGCTGTAGGAAATATGGAGGATTTGTACGTATCATTATAGTACATAGGCGAGTAATTAGATTGCCTGGTAAAGATCTTAGTAGCTGGGTTAAGGTACGCTTCCAATACGATGTCATCATTACTGGTAAGGAATGTCCTATTCAGCGCATCATCAATCAACCTAGATATCCCAAATGTTCGTGCCACAACACCCTTTGGAATCCTGGACTTTCTAGCTGGCCATGTAGTGGGCCTTTACAATGTGAATGATTGTGATGTGCAATCCATTCGGGAGGTGTTTCATCTTCTCTAGAATATATTTCTGGCTATATTCGTAAGAACTTATTCAAAATGAATTGCACTCCATTTTCTACAGTGGCTTCAATAGGTAATAACTCTCTTGAATATCCTTAAAGTTTAAAAAGTGTTCTTCCGGAACAAAGTGAGTATAAGGCTTCCCTTATGGTAAAGTTAATACCATTGGACAACATGATATAGTAGTGTCAAGCCCCACAATCAGGTTATATAGGCTTGAAAG